TCCCACTTTACAAAAAAAGTTTCTGAATTGCGATCAGCTGCCTTGTCAGGTTCTCCGTAATTTCTTTATCGTTTCAATGGCTATTTTATATTTATATTTAAATTAAAGAGGAATTAGAAGCCGCATGTAACTAAGCAAGGAATATATGATGGAAGGTGAGTGAATTGAATCTACTGGCTAGAGCATTGTGACAACAATTGTCACACAGTAAGTAAGCCTACCGAATAGCGCAATACGAGGTGTCTGTTCACGCATGTGCAGCAAGATACATTTCCGTATTGTCAGATGACGTCATGTCCACGCAAACGGTTCCGATATAATTAAAATTGTTGGCTACGTTCTATATGTATGTATGCATGTATGTATGTATGTATGTATGTATGTATGTATGTGTGTGTCTGTTTCTTAGAGGATGTGTCTTCATGTATGTGTGTTGTATGTACATATATGTTTCTGTTGATAAATTTATTGTACAATTAACCACGCCTTTATGAAAACAGCATCAAAGTGTCTGTTAATGCATGTGCAATAAGGTCCACTTCTGACTTTTAGACAAATTACAGACAAGGCAACACAACCAGCCCTCGAATTATTCAAAAGAGTTGAATGCGTTTTCTATAGAAACCATTTCTATCTAACATTTCTTATGGAGATTATTTATATTAAATTTATTTCCTCAAAATTTATTCAAAGAGAATTGTTTTTATCAAAATAGAAATAATATGTTTAATTAAAACGTATCAGGACTAGTGCGATAAAAACAAAAAAACAAACTAAAACACATATAAATTCAGCATTTAATCTCCTTCGAAGTAGTCCCCTTCTGAAGTCACATACTTTATCCAGCACAGTTTCCATTGATAGAAGAATTACTGAAACTCTTTTTTTGATATAACGAAGAGTTGCCTTGTCGCATTCTCTTGGATTTCGTCGACGTCACTGAAATCTTGTTCCTTTCAAGCGTAATTTGATTTTTGAAGAGAAAAAGTCGTAATCTGGGGAGTGTGGCGGTTGTAGGCCCTGGGGATTGTTGGACGTTGCTAAAAACTGCTGCACTAGCCATGGTCTCTGATAGTACCTCTGTAGAGTGGTAAGATGATCATAATCTATACACTTTCCATTTAGGTATTGCTTGTCGGAGTTAACTCCTCCTTAATTCCCAAATTGTCACTAGGGGTCACTCTCCCTATACTATAAATACTGGGTGACTTCTTGCCTCGTTCTCTTTCCTTCAGGCCTCGTGACGCAAATCTTCTTTTTCACTTCTTCATTTCAGAGACTACAATGTAAGATCTCTTAGAAGATCCGCGTCTTCCTTTTTGTGGGAGACGTCGTGAACATTATACACACATACGCGTACGTACGAACATTCATAAAAAAGAACCAGACAAACAAATGTTATTTCCCATTGTAAAATTGTTTTGATTAATTCATATATTTGTATATATATATATATATATATATATATATATATATATATATATATATATATATATATATATATATATGGCCTTGTCTGTTTGTCTTCTTTACATCTTCAGTTGGACTTAATTCAAGTCTAGCCATTTTCTTGTAGTTGGACCTTTTAATATTCTACCAGGAGTTACACACGTGTTTCTAATACAACTACAATCAAAACCCACACGGTCGTCAACATGCTATAACAACGGAAACTAACGATAGTGTATATGCCTGACAAAATTCCTGGTCAATCTCTCGAAGCGTCTTCATTCTACGTACTTTAACTCCGTTACCATGCTTTTCCCTCAGAGCTCGTACAAATAGATTTTATTTGAAAGAGAAAACTTAGAATGCTTCAACTGAATGTTTTCTCTGTCCACAACGACGATTGCCTTAAGATGTTCTCTAAAAACAGATATTTTTAAAACGAAATTTGATTGAAGAATGCCGTAATTTCTAATATTCATAGTTAACATATACTTTCTCGTGCTAGGCTATTCAATAAGCTTGTTTGAAATCACACTGTCAAAGAGAATAGATACATCATGAATTCTCTTTGATTTATTGGCAATGAAAGTCATACTTTTAAATGCTCAGTAAAATAAATGCTTTCAAATTTTACATTTTAAATATAATTGTGGATATTTTCCTTTAGTCTAATTGTAGATGCAGCGACCATTAAGAAAACGAACGACTATCAACATCCGTACAGAATTGGCGACTGAAAAATTCAATTCTGCAGGCATTTATTTAAAACTTTATAGAAATGTTTTTTTTTAATCTAATTCTAATTTAATTTCTTTTTCAAGAAAACATAGGAAATGCCATTGGGAACAGCATTGGAAAGGATAAGAAATGAAAAGAGGTCGCTTGGATTAGAGCATTTTGAACAAAAATGTTAAGCAGCTATTAAAAAAAGACGAACATGGCGTTAGGAACAAAGAAAGGAATACTGAACGTCGGTTCTCCTATATGACAGCAAATGCTGGACAATCTTCTCGCAGATAGGGAAGAAACTTGAAGCAACAAAAATGGACTGACCAATGATGAGATTTAGAGAAAACGGGAACGAAAAGGACACTTATACTAAACATCAGAATAAGAAATTTCTACGGCATATAACGAGGGAAGAGAAGTTAGAAAATACGACACTCACAGGAGATATTGAAGGAAAGCGGGACAGAGGAAATTAGCGCATAACCACTGCCTAACGAGCTTGTTTAAATGAATGGCAGAACAGGGATTATGAAAGATGACAAAAAGACAAAATATTCTAAAAGCTACAAAGAGCAGGAAGCTATGGAGACCTATAATCGTCCAAGTCTTGAATGAACACGGCACATATAAGTTTTGACATACCAGTGAGTTTGATACTCAAGTAGTTACACGACACTTTCAAACTAGTCAAAAACGACGTTTAGTAAGGACAACTGGCTGAGAGAAGTTTTCCGTATGCTATTTCGCCTAGTCTTTTTATGTGCCGTGTCCCTTCAGGACGTAGGCGAGCATGGCTCTCCACTTCCCCCTATTCCTTGTTGCTCTCAATAAGTTTTATCCTTATGCTACTTCATCCAGCCCATGTACTGTTATCCACTTGCTTAAACCTGCCAAGTATGTCTTGCATTGCTTTCCCTTGTCTCTCTTTCCCTCTATTCGACCTGTGGGTATCAGATTATCCAAGCCCTCCTCATCTCATAAATTTCAGCTACCTCTTCCTGATGTTAAGGATAAGCTTCCTCTTTGTTTGCATCCTCTCCTAAACCTCATCGGTGGCTCGCTCGATCCATGATATCCTTAGCATCCATCTGTACAACCATACCTACGTTGCCTGGAATCCCTTCTTCATCTTAGAACAAACCGTCCAACATTTGGTACCGTAAAGAGAACAGATGTCAAGTAGCAGTTTAGTACCAAAAACACCTCAGTCTTAATACTCTGTCTAGCTTTAGAAATATAATATATATATATATATATATATATATATATATATATATATATATATATATATATAATAAAAAAGGCTTAAACACTAATATTCCATGGTCATAATTTATTCCATTGGAATCTACCTGGATCCTTCCTCTTGGAAAATTTTTTTTTCTGAAAATATACATGTATGGGAATTTTTAGATATATTTTTCATATGTATGTATATTTTCCACTAATATTATGTATATATATATATATATATATATATATAGGATTTGTGTATACGGAATAAATTCCAATAACCAACAAATACTATTCTTAAAAGAGTGCTAAATACAGAGTAGAGAAAATATAATTATTTATTCGAAAATTATAACATAAATATTTTATAAAATCACTACAATAATAGTCATATATATATATAGATATATATATATATATATATGGGACATTTCCTTTATTAAGATTTTTTTCGAACGCGCAGACCGGTAGACAGTTAAAAAAAATACGAGGATTGACGAGATATATCATTTGCAGTAATAAATGTAGGCGCACACACACGCACACACATACACACACACACACACACACACACACACACATATATATATATATTCTTTAAAATTTATGGAGGATAAATGCTCATTATCGGCGTTAGGGTTCTTGTTTTGGATAAAGCTTTTGATTGGTTTCATGTTTCACACACACACACATATATAAATATATATATATGCATATATATATATATATATATATATATATATATTATGGTCAGGGATTGAACGAAAACAGACAAAAAGACAGACACTCTGGTATTTCCAAATTTTGCTTGGGTCACTTCTCATTACGAATACTCATTACCAATACGATGCCCGCTTAGACATACACGAATCTTCAGAAATTTACATACATATAGAATTATTTACTTTTTTAATGCACTTGATACGTGACTGACCAATGAGAATTGACCCAAACAAAACTGGAAATACCAGCCTTTCTGTCTTTTTGTCTGTTTCCCCTCAATCTCTGACGAAGCTTTATTAAAGTGAAACATGTTAGATTGATATACATATGTTTGTTATTTTATCATCCTGTCGGATTCCAATCTATATTTGATCTGCATATTTGATCTTTAATATATATATATATATATATATATATATATATATATATATATATATATATAAAAATTTGTGTGTGTGTGCATTTGTTTTCAAACAATTCGTGGATTTATACCTTTAGTTCGACATCATTTCTTATTAGTTTAAATGTTATAGTTTAATGAATAATCATACTTAGTTTTGCATGTGTAGATATGCATTGTTTACAAAACTTTCCGTAATGTCCCCTTCTCTCTCGCTGAGCCGTCTAAGAGACGACAGATGAAATTGTGGCTTCGGCCTGCAAAGTTGAGCACAGTTTCGGACATTGCCGGTGCACGTTTATCCTGTATTAGAACACTCGAATTTAGAGGCCGGTAGATGTGTTTCACACTGTATGAAAACACGTGTATCCACTAAAATATAATATTTAGAGTGATAAGAAATACATGTGTATATATGTGTATTTGATGTTATGTTTAAACAATCTTTTTTTTTTGTTTTTGGCAGAGAGAAGATTCGATGATGTTATATTTGTCGGAGGAGATGTGCGAATCTGACCACAAAAACAACGCTAACATCATTGTAAATCACAGTAATTCCAGCCCCAACAATCATCGCACGAGTGACAATTTCAACCACAACAGTAACACCAGCAGCAGTAGTAGCAGCAGTCACAGTGACAGCAGCAGCGGCAAGGTATGTTAAACTACTCCTTTTTTTACGGGCGGGAGGTTTTATGTTGTTTATATAAGACAAATATATCTGTTATCGTAGCGAAGACAAAAAAAAAAACAAAAACAAAAAAAAACGAATTGAATTCAAATACCTTAACATTTTAATTAGAAAGGCTTTACCTTCAAAAAACAGAAATATTTTATGTGTCGTGCTTCTTCAGGACGTAGGCGAGCTGGGGTCTCCACAACTTCCTAGAAACGTTTGTCATTTTATTATACTTCCCATTCTGTTCTGTTATCCATTTACACAAGCCCATTTGATAGCTTACTTGCTATTTCCCTACTGTAAGTTTTGCGAGTGTTATATTTGCCAAGCTTCTTTTTCCTCATTATGTGTCCTAGAAAATTTCTACAGTTTCTTTTTGATTGTAAGTTTATTTTTTGTACCTAATTTCCTTAAAACATTTCCTGTCCTACTGAATTAGAAATTATTCGAAATTCTGTGTTTTACATGGGAAATAATCAAATGCATGAATCAGGACATAAGATTTCGCGTAGATATTTACTAAAATTAACCTATTCTGTTACTAGGCCAAATGGAAAAAAAATATTTGGAAGAATGCGTTGCGCCAAACTGGCATGATATTTCCTGATATATCATCATAACAGATATTGCGATATTTCAGCGAGTAAATAAAATTCCAAATTATAGATATTTACCCAGATTTTCTTAGCACAGCACAAAAGCAAATATGGAATGTAGCAGGGACAATCGCCCGTGTTGCATTTTGGCAGAGTTTCAATATGTTGAAAATCAGCATCAAAAATTAGACTCAGACATTGATCACTGACATCGGATGGAACTATGCAATTGTCTTCAAGCCCTCAACCGAAATAGAATAAAGTAATCAATGAAAATGAGGTTTGCCAGATTAGGTCTAGAAATCTAGAAATCTAGAAAGTCTGAACCAAGAAATTTGAATTGAATTTTCTCGTTTCTATCATATGCTAGCCCAACTCGTTCGAAAAAAGTAACACGAAATATCACAAGAAGCTTTTAAAATTTGTTCGTTAACAGCTTTCACTTATTGCGCTAACTCGTAAAACTGCTGACGACTCATTTTTCTCAAATAGAGGAATAGAAGGCCCTGTTATTATTGCCTTAAGAGTCGCCGTTCGAAGTTAAAAAAGTGACCTATGTTGATGAACAATGTAAAAATGTTGAGAAAATAAAGTGAAATAAAACGAGATATAAATGTTTATTTTATCCGTAACTTTGTGAGCAGGAAAAAAAAAAAAAGATATGTTCTTAAGCGAGTGTCTGTAAAAATTAAATGAAAAACATTTTGAACTTACTCTGTTGGTGAATCAAAGAATAAGTGAAGTATATTGTCTACGCCACGTGCGTCTATTGCACGGAGCGCTAATTTTAGCGTCCTATCCTGATCATAGCCAGAAATGAAAAGACCTAGCCAGATGGGATTCACAGCATGTATGTTCCCAGTTTTATTTTCTTTCTATGTATGCCCAAAAGCTGAAAAAAAGTAGCTGCTGTTGATAGGATTATCGACGCATGCGTGTCTAGCGAAAAGGTTTAAAGTCTGCTACACGCTAGACAGGGAATCTGTATCTAATTATTTATTAATCATATATTTATGATCATCAAGCAAGTTTACCAGATTGATCTACAAGTAGCAAAGTAGGCCGCATTTGAAAGATCAACACTTAAATTTTGACTTAAATTTCTTTTCTTTTTTTGTAATAAAAATAAGATGTGGTACGAAAATTAAAATTCAGGTGACGGCTGGTCCACTCGGCCATATCTTTCAACCTAGCTTATCACAATCATTGACCCATATTGTTCCTTTCACCAAAACATCTCGATTATACTTATCATTCGTACTAGAGATATCATAATACCGCAATTTCTCAATGATGACTTTACTAGTTCTATATGTACATTATTTGTGGGGGTGTAAAATATAATATGAACTTTAAAAAAATTCCACAATGGATATATTCATTGAAGTAAAAAAAACAAAAGAAAATAAAACCTGTCTCGTATTAGAAACACCTACCACAATCCTACACGTGATAGGAATAACAGTTAACTTGAAAAAATGCGAGGTTTTATCATTTAAGTAAGTTGCGTACACACAGAAGCGCACATATTGAAAGTCACCCCGCATTGAAATATCTATCACCTGATTGGAGAGGTATTGGGAAAGAAAAAGAGGACAGAATAATAAAAGTGGTCAATGGCCTTACACACTCCAGCTGTCTTTTGTCTTAATAGTCGTCAAGTTTAATTAATTCTTATTTTGGCATCGCCACTAAAGAATCAATTAGTAAAATTCAAAATTTCGCAGCGCTTGACATTCAAATATAGTCCAACTTGGCGTTTGTCTTTCAAACCTGGCGAACCACTGTTCGTTGAATGAAAGACTCGATCAAGAAAGTAAATCAGATGACGTACACACGGAGGAACAACGGCTAGAAATAAGTAAAAAAAAAAGGCCATACTTAAAGAAGCTTTGCTGTCACTTTTCCTTCAGTATTAACAGATATTTCTGTTGTTAATTTGAAAGTGATAATAATCAACATATTTGATTCAAAATGTCATGTGGCACTGGTTGATAAAAATCTATTAATTTTATTTGAAAGGGTCAAATATTTCAACTTCAATGACATAACAGATAGCCTAATGAAGAGGAAGCAAAATGAATTTCGTTTATTAAATATAGTAGTTTAAAAGCCGCCCTATCTGGCAAGCTCCTGCGGAGAGATCTTAATTGGTTCTTCGGCTTGTTCAGGAGTTTGAGAGTCCCTAAGTCTTTGCACATTCTTTGCATATATTGGAAGCTCTTCCGGTTGCTGTTTGATCTTGGTTCTCGTTTGAACTGGACTTTCTTTTCCTCGTTGCAGCCTGGTCCTCTGTTGGAGGAGATTTCTTTTAGAGATGCATACTGCTGCCGTATGCGATAGGCAACAATAAACTATAAAAGAAATTAAAACTGATCGTTGCATTTAAGTATTGCATTTATATTTAAGCTTACCTTTTAAAAGTTCAACGATAATTCTTCTACCACCATTTAATTTAAAGACAATTTGATGTGCTTAGGTCTTTACTTTCCGTACAAACAATTATTCTTATTTGATGGGGACTTTCGCTGGATTTCGCAATTAATTTCGATCATTCCCAAATATATTCCGAGTTATAAAAAAAAATCGTATAAAAAAATAACGTAAAATATCGCCAAAACAATTGAAGTAATGAGAACTTGGGAATTCAAAATTTCTGTAACATGAGCTATTGAAAGTTAGAGAGTTGTGTCCCTTTAGTTGTAAAAGTGAGACACAGTGACACATTGACCTTCACATTTATTATATAGATGAAACCTTTGGTATATCAAATATCTGAAAACTTTTATTATATAGTATTTTGTGTGAGTCAATTGCTTTTGAGCGAATCTTCACATCTGAACTCCTCTGAAGATAGAATTAATTTTTTAGGAATATTTTCTGTGTTTATACAAATTTACTGAAGCATTCTTTTTGAAAACAGCTGCCTGCTTTCTTCAACTGACTGCTTTAAACATTTGAAATTGTGTTTGGAGCGATTTAACAGTCAAAATGCAGAATACAAACAGGCCCGATTGACCGTTCTGTTTTATTGTCCTTTGTTTGTGTGAAGATTAAAGGCATTTATTTTCTGAAGCTTCCTTGCATATTTTACATCTCTCGTCCATTACGCTATGAATATTCCTTAATAATAAATTCCTTCCACAAGTAAGGGTGGTTTAAAGCTCCCTGATAAAGAACTTATTCTTTGATAATCTCATTCAAAATATTATATGACTTCGAAGTCATCACATTACTTTGACAACATTTCTATCAAAGAGCTACTGGCCATTGTCAAGGCTAGAAATGAGTGCAACAGCTATTTTTTTTTACTGTTACTACAACCTGAACTTTAAAATATTTATTAGGTTGTAGTTTGCACCCAAACTCTTTTACGTTAACCATTGCAGCATAGAATATATTCTTTGAAAGAAATCTGCATATGGAATAAATGGATATGGTAATTTCCCAAGTGTGGTTTAGATGTGACACTACTCACTAATCAGTCGTAATTGATCTACCGAAACAAGCTTGCTAACCATTACACCACGTTGAAGTGCCCATAAAATGCAAGGATATGGACCTTTCTGAATTCTTCCTAAGGGTGTTTATTTAAAACAAAAGAAGCAAGGTGAAAAAGCAAATCATCTATTTAACCAATTTGTATCAGTGGTTAATGGTTAAACAGAAACAAAAACGGATGATAAACAATCGAAGGTTGTTACTAATATGCTAAGAAGGCCATGAAAAATGCCTGCAAGTACATTTCAAGAAATAATAGAAATTACAGGAAACTATCAGAAAATTCTAGGATAGATAATGAGAAAAGAGAATCAGGTGAATATAACACTCACAGGATATAGTGAAACCAAGAGGAGAAGAGGTTAAGGCGAATAAGTAATTTAACAAGTTTAAGTAAAGGGGATGCAAAACAAAAAAAAATGGATGAAAAAGAGGAAGTTATTCATGAAATCCATGAAATTGTAGAGAGAATCAGCCAGATTCCAAAGTGACATGATACAAAAAGAATGAGGCTCACTAAATATAACCAGCCTTAGCAAAACTTCAAACCCCGTTTGTCGAGTAACCTCATATTTCCATCATCGGGTGTGGTAGTAAGATCACTGCGCATCTGATGATTTGACCAGTTTCTCCCACATGTCTGCGCTAAAAGATGGAGAGATATCCATTCATGCCGAGCATTCCTGGGTGGGACCTCCCTCTCTCTCTCTCTCTCTCTCTCTGTTAAGTCAGAGTTGAGGTTTCACCAACTTCAAGGCTTACTTTGGTCATGGATATGTGATCATTGGTTCTGTCGGATGAACCCACCACGTTGGCCGTTGACTTCAGTGCCGGAAGCCGTCTGCCCAACAACGCCGTTTAATCACTGATTGTATACGT